TTTGTTGTGATTTGGCGCTATATAAATAAAATTGAATTGAATTGAATTGAATTGAATTAACTCCAGTTCTTGAAACAGTTCTCTACATTACTGCTTTTATAAAATAGCTACAGGTACAAAGATAAAATTGTGAAAGAGCCCTTTTTCTGCATTTGGTGACGTTTGCTTTTATGAGCAAAGATCTTACGCATAAATCCAATAAACTTCACCAAAGTAATTTTAAAAAGACAAAATAACTCGTTTAGATTTATCACAATGATGTAAATGGCGAAAAGTTTAAATGTATCAATCAAAGCATCTTTTTTAGTTTAAACAGGAAGTTCTACATGTTTTCCTTACTCCCCCCACTTCACCACCATTACAGGTACACTGATATCATACAAACAGGTAACAGATGTGTCTTAGTTGGCATTACTCATATTGTGAGGATATATCATAAATATGTCACCGTTATTTAAGTTTTAGTAAGTAATTTTAGTAAGTAAAGTCAGCAGAAAATGAATGTAAATTCGATGTCGTTCACAAGCTGACACCTGAGCTGGCATACAGATGCACTTCTCATGTACACATGTAGTTTGCATGGTGGTGAACTTGGAGTCACCACAACATATGTTCAGTGGGAATTTAATGGCCATAAATAACTGAGTTTCCCACCACCTGTTACAAAGTGTGGCAGCATGGAGAGCAGCGGCATTGTTAGTCAAATGAATGATTGCTGGGCAACTAAAAAATGTCTTTGTTGTACTCTGAATTATATCAGGAAGTCGTAGGCAGGGATGGAAACATGAGGCAAGCAGAGCTGTGAAAAGCCTGAGATTACTGTAAAAAAGAACTTTTACTGGACGTTCAAATGAGTAAGGTTTCTAACCATTGTGTTTAGCTTATGATAAGATGATTGATGATGATCAATACGCTGTCACCAAATATCACTATTATAATAAAACAAGCATTCCCTCTACACAGAATCACCCAGCCAGTTTGATTTACCAATACTTGATGACTCCTCCAACAGAAGATTGTGTCAAATGAGTGAAGAGGGTAAAGTGCATAACCCAACTGAATAATGAACAGTGTTTCTTTATGAAGTCTGAACATCCATCCATTCTCTTTAGCGTGTCCTTATCAGGGTTGCAGGGGGTAGTCTTAAAGTCTGAACACCTCAAGGTAATTGTGCTGAGACTGAAAAGAAAGCTCTTTCTTTCATTTCTTTCTCTCTTTCTTTCATTTGTCCATCAAGCCTTGGAACAAGAAATCTTTTCACTTTTTCATAAGTCACTAAAGTCCCATCAGTCTTTGTTGGTACTTTAATCATGAAGAGGTTCTGCAGGTCTTGCAAAGGTCATCTCATACCACTTGGAGGGCTTTTCACAGCACTGACATTTGGGAGGAAAACACAGTTATTTATAGCGCTAATCAGTGCCCGGGTTGCAGAAACGGTCTTCTGTGTACCTGAGAGAATGAAAGTGAGAAAAATCTCCAGGGCTGCTAATAAATCCCAACCATTTTACATAAAGAGATGTGTAAATGTTTCTTGCCATTATGCCTTCTTGCTGAATAATAATGTCCCTGCCATAATGGGCCTTAACCAGGGAAACAGAGGAGGACCAAGGTAGAGTGAAAAAAGGTAGCCATAACAACAGTATTAAAATTCCTTCCACCGGTTTCTTTGTGAATTTCAGACAGTGAACATGTCACCTTAGTGTTGCTCTTGTCTTCTTCTCTTTTATTTGACATGCTGTAAGGACACAGATAATAATTCCTTCTGTTCAAAGTGCTGTTAGTCGGTTGATAACAGTTAGAGCTGAAATATGCAGTACTGTGTCTGTCGATGTGCAAGTGTACATGGAAATACTGCATTTATGTATATGGATATATAAATATTTGAACGTAAAACAGAGTATGTATGATTGTAATGAACTTAAAGGTCAATATTTGGTATGTCCACCTTTATTCTTCAACACAGCCTGAACTCTCTTGTTCAGCTTTCTTCTAATTTCTTTAAGTTGTCTTCAGGAATAGTTCTCCAGCCTTCTTGAAGGACATTCAAAGCTTTTCTTTGGATGTTGGCTGCCTTTTGTTCTGTTTTATGTCAAGATGATCCCACATTGTTTCAGTAATGTTGAGGTCCAGGCTCTGGGGAGACCAATCCACGACTGGCAGTGTTACATTATGTGATTTTCTATCCATTTATGCTTTCACTCCATTTTTACTGTGATCTCCAACACCACTGGCTGACATTCAGCCTCAGTCCATGACAGAGCCTCCACCGTGTTTTACAGATGGCTGTACTCACTGATGTCCCCTCCTGACCTCCTCTCTTCTATCTTCCATTTGTCCGTTTTTTTTTCAAATTGCACACCATGCTAAGATGTGCCAAGTATTCAGCTAACTGCTCTTTTGGAATCATGGTGTTGGTAAAATAATTCTACTTTATGCTTGTCCAACTGTGTCATCTTTAACATTTTTCATAGATTCATTTAAAGAAATTGGAACAAATTACATATTGTTTCTATCATGACTGTGAGCAGGCAGGCAGGAACGGTGAACACAAGAGCAGGACTCGCGGAGGCAAAAGTGAACTTAAACGACTCAGCTTTATTGCTGGACAGCAGGCAAAACAGGGAAAGTAACTAAACTAATCAGGCAGACGGAACACACAGTGGGGAATGAGGGACAGCACGACGATGAGCAGGGGAAGATGCAGACACTAAATACAGGAGGTGAACAGGAGTAAGGGGAAATAGCTGGGCGACATGGCTGACACTGATTACACAGATGAGACAGGGAGAGCACAAAACTGAACGCACTGACATGAGACACAGACCTTCAAAGTAAAACAGGAAGTACACGACAGACACAGAGATCCAGACTAGACACTGAACTTAACAGATACACATGAGCAGACATTATAACATCGGGGACAGACAGAGGGAACACAGAAAAGTGGGACCAGGGCAGGCACAGAACAGAAACCTAACAAATGGCAAATCTTAATGAAAGGCATAACCAGAATAAACAAGAACATAAAATATTATAAAGAAACAAAACACTGAGTCGTTAGACTCAGGACCATGACAGTTGCAACAAGTTGCTAGTAATAAATTGCCTAAACATATAATTTAAAACTGGTTGAGTCATAGGTCACTGTTCAGTGGCTTAACAAACAAAAACATTCATCCATAAATGGCCAGGTAACAGGACTGGACTGAAAATGAGTGATAAAGCAGCTGACGTCCAAAGAAACACTCGGAAAGACCTTCAGAAAACCTGGAGAGCTTTTTCTTAGGAACGCTTTAAAACATTACAAGTAATTCTGGCTCCTTGGAAGCAAAATATAACGACATGAGATGTAGCGAGATATATGCACAGTATTTTAATATAATATGGTGCACTAAAAAGTATTTGCCCTCCTCCTGATTGTTTTTTTAATTTTTTGTTTTTGCATTTTTGTCCCACACGTTTCAGATCATCAAGCAAATTCAGATATTCAGACATAGATTTTGATATAGACAAAGATAACCTGAGTAAATGCAAAATGCAGCCTTTATTAAATGATGAATTTGTTTATTCAGGTCAAAATAGTTACACAATCCTACCTGGCTCTGTTTGAAAAAGTAA